TCCATACACACGTAAGTATAAATATATATATATATATATATATATATATATATATATATATATATATATATATATATATATATATATATATATATATATATATATATATATATATATATATATATATATATATATATAATGTTATGGTAAATATCATAAACACACATAGGCATGGCTAGGTTTATTACAAAGTGATGAAAAGGGTACGCTTAATACTGTAGTCCACAAAACATGTAGCTATGCTTTTTTTTATTTGGTCCCCCGTCATACGAGTCCGTTTTCTCTCACATCAGGACGCCTGAGTCCTCCGTTTTCTCTCTTAATCTTAGAGTGCACCAGAAACTTTACTATTTTTAGTAATGCCACAGAATTTGAAATTGCAACCCCAATTGCAACTGGGGTTGCAATTGTTGAGGCAACTAGATATGTCTGATTACAGCAAATGTGTTATTGTCAATTTGTAGGTGAAAGATTTTATCCTCAATAGATGTAGGTTAACATTTCACCTGTAGGCAAATGCTTAAAAAAAGCCTAAGTAAGGAAGCATATTCTTTTAACACATAATATCTGACCAGTATGGGGAGGATCATCGTGTCTCCGTTAGGGGGTCGTGGAGTGCTGGTCCAGCAGGCGTCACTTTTTTGGGGGGGGGCCATGGACGTATATGCGATCGGACGTTGTTCGGTTGGACGTTAACCGGCGCATGACTGTATATATATATATATATATATATATATATATATATATATATATATATATATATATATATATATATATATATATATATATACGTACATACAGATTGTACCTCTCTAGTCTGGCAACCTCGGGACCTGACCGGTGCCAGACCATGGATAGATAGTGACTTGTGCATACACTTGGAAGCACTAGCACCACTGTCACTGCTTCGTAGTCTCTTTGAAGACATATTGAATGGTTAAATGTTGTACAGTAGGTTCTCAAATTTCGCGAGTTTTTAATTCGACATTTTTTATTTCGACAAAAAAAAAACTGCACAATTTAAAATTTCGACGGCGAAAACTCGAATTTCGGCGGGTTTGAGCGGCCAGCCAACGTTCAGACATGCCTCATTGTGTAAACAGGGTTATTTCTCCTTGTACAAAACATTCATTATTTTTTATTACTGAATGTCTTTTTGATTGAATTAATGTTTATGTGTGCAAAATGAAAAATACAATTCATTAATAATACGTAGAATATTAAAACACACGAGGTTACGAGACAGCATTGTTTTCGTTGTTTACGAAACCTGTGACTGATTGGTTCTACATATAAAACTGAAGAAAATAAGACCCTGGTTGTAGCTGTAGTAAAATTAATATGGTTGTTTTAAGTAATTTTATTTAATGTTAATAAATGGAACAATGGAAGTAGCTAACCATTAATGGTAAAAAAAATAAGAGAGATCGCGTATGTAAGTGCACACATATGAAAACATATCGTCATTACAAGAGAATATGAAAGCAACACTTATTTACTGTTCATATATGTTTTAATTAATGTTTCTTTATTTTTTTTATTGAATTAATGTTTATGTGTGAAAAATGAACAATACAATTCATTAATAATACGTGGAATATTAAAACACACGATGAGACGAGACGATATTGTTTTCGTTAATGTTTACAAAACCAATGACTGATTAGTTCTACATATAAAACTGAAGAAAATAAGACCCTGGTTGTAGCTGTAGTAAACTTAATATGGTTGTTTTAAGTAATGTTATTTAATGTTAATAAATGGAACAATGGAAGTACCTAACCATTAATGGTAAAAAAAAGAGTGAGATCACGTATGTAAGTGAGCACATGTGTAAACATATCGTCATTACTCTACATAAGAATATGAAAGCAACACTTATTTACTGTTCATATATATTGTAATTAATGTTTCTGAATTAAAAAAAAAATTCTACCCACCAGTGGTGGTAAAGTTGAAAACATAAAGACAGCCAATGTTGTTGTGTGTGTTTTTACTTGGATGACGAAGTTGCCAAGCCATCTGGTTGAACTCTAGCTAAAGCTGTAGAACATAAGAACTTTTCTGTGTTGTTTTTAGTTTTTATTTAACTTTATCTGTTATTTTCGTTGGTTTATTAGGATGTTGCTTTATTGCAGGTAGTAATTCGCCAAAGAAGTAGTGTAAATAAGGCCAAATTTAGCCAAACATCGAAAGTACAGTACCAGACTCAAATTAATTTTCTCCATGGGCAAACTAAAATCGTTACAGAACACGGGAGTTTCCGGACCACAGAATGCCGGACTAGAGAGGCACAACCTGTGTTTATATATATATATATATATATATATATATATATATATATATATATATATATATATATATATATATATATATATATATATATATATATATATATATATATATATATTATATATATATATATATTATATATATATATATATATATATATATACATATATATATATATATATATATATATATATACATATATATATATACATACATACACAGTGGTCCCCCTATTTACGCTGTCAATTGAACCCGCGGAGTAGCATGTAAAACTAGAAACGCATAAATGGAATAACAGAACATATGGGATTAATTGAAATAGAGACTGGGCCGACTCCCAAAATCCACTTTTTCCTACACAATACGGACACAATTCCTATGTTGTAGTAAAAATAACATCTTAATTTTATAATGGTATGCACACACACACAATGTTTAAGAGAAATACAGTCGACAGGGTAATGTCCATTTAAATAATGGAGTCAACTCCCTCCCCCTTCTTTCCACGCTCGCTAGCTCCTCCCTCTCTGAGAAATGTTTGGGTGAAAACACTAGATTTTAAGGTATAGTAATAAATAATACCTCAGATTAAAGTTAGAATAATATAATTGACATTGCTGGATTCCTTGCAAAACCAGGAATATTTTGAATATAAACATCATATATTTTGCACAAAAGATAAAATTTTGGCTCTTTGTAATGAAAATTCTTACATTAGATCTAAAATTTGTATGTCTAGTGCAAATTCCATGATGTTTATATTTAAAATAATTACAATCTTATAAGAATTCCAGCAATGCAAATTATATTCTGGCCAGGTAATTTGGATGAATTTTATGAGATAAAACAAATATCTTCAGTAAATAAACAAATTATACTTGACCCAGACTCTATCTATCAATAAAAATACTCCACCTCGCTCCCCCCCTTTTCCCACGCTTGCTGGGTCCCTCCCTCCCTACTCCCTAACCTTCCCTCCCTACCAGAGAAATGTTTGGGTGAAAACATTAGGCTTACATTTTAAGTAATAAATAATACCCCAGACTAAAGTTAGGATAATATAATTGGCATTGCTGGATTCTTTGCATGACCAGGAATATTTTGAATATAAACATCATATATTTTGCACAAATATAAAATTTTGGCTCTTTGTAATCAAAATTCTTACATTAGGCCTAGATCTAAAATTTGTATGTCTGAGGCAAATTCTATGATGTTTATATTTAAAATAATCACAATCTTATGAGAATTCCAGCAATGTAAATTATATTCTGGTCAGTTAATTTGTATGAATTTTCTGAGCTAAACCAAATATCTTCAGTAAATAAACAAATTATACTCCACCCACGTAAATGAGTAAATTCACCGCGTAAATCGGGCATCCGGGTTCTGGCAAGGTACCGCGTAAATGACCAAACGCGTAAACGAGAACCTCGTAAATCCAGGTTCAACTGTGTATATATATATATATATATATATATATATATATATATATATATATATATATATATATATATATATATATATAATATATATATATATATATATATATATATATATATATACATATATATATATATATATATATATATATATATATATATTTATTAAAACCTCGATTAACCGACCACATATGGGGGGAAGGAGCCGACGGATAGTCCAAACGGTCGGTTAATAGTACATAAAGTCTACGGAAAGAAAACAAACATTTTCAAAGCACCTTTCCCTAACCTACCACATTTAATTCCCTCTATTCATTTTTGTTCATTTGCCATTCATATTTCAATAGAATTTGCTTTAAAACATTAACCACTTTAGTAAATAAATATAAACCAGCACAGAAACCGTGAATAAAAAATGGAAAAGTCAAAGAACATATGGCATCACAAAAATTGTGACCAAGTCCCAGGTTGCTGATCTGACTTTCTACCTCATTTACACACAATTGCAGGGTCTCAATTGCTTCTCTTATTATTGACAACACAACATACATATATTGTTCCTCATTCTTGATTTTTTTTTCATTTTTGCATTTATTTATGGTTCTTTATTACTAATATTATTATTTTCATTATCATTATTAATATTATTACATTATCGTCCCCCAGGCCAAGATGTGGGTCAGTGACCTGTGCCCGGGTGGGCTAATCCCCGTAAAAAATTTTTTTTTTTTTAGGAGTTCGGGATTGACGATTAATCCAAAAATCGGTTAATGGAGGTTTTACTGTATATATATATATATATATATATATATATATATATATATATATATATATATATATATATATATATATATATATATATATATATATATATATATATATATATATATATATATATAGAGAGAGAGAGAGAGAGAGAGAGAGAGAGAGAGAGAGAGAGAGAGAGAGAGTGTATTCTCTCTCTCTGGACTCACATTTTTTGGACTCGGCTCTGCCCCAATTAATCCTATTTATCGAGCTTCTACATATATTATGCTCATATAACGGTTATGTTTATAATTTTGTGTAATTTATTATGTACAGTACAGTAGTGTGTTTTGTTTCCAAGTGTTACCGGTACATATTTTAACAGTTTTCATCCATCATTAGTCATTATATTTTGTCCGCCTCTTATGCACTTAATTCACATATATTTTGTTGTTGTAATATATGCAGGATTTACATTATCACATTGATTTTTTCTTCCTTTTTTTATTTAATCTACAGCCGCATGGGGGGCACTGTGGCACCTGTAGATTGGCAGGGCAGCCTCAATATTACCTACCATTTAGGGCCAGGATTTGTGAACCCAGGCTGGACACTTAACTTAGATGTGAACAATAATAATACTCAAACTACCACTCATAATGTTGTGGGAATTATCACAGGTCATGAGGAACCAGGTAATTTGATATTTGTTTTAATAATTAATGTTTTTTTCTGTAAATACCTTTTTGTCCTTATATTATACTTTATATTGCTTTGTAATTTTATAATGATATTCAGTAATTATGTGGTGAAATATAGCCACACTGTACACCAAATGGAATGGTCCTACCTTTTACACTATCATAGATTTATTATTGTCTTTGGTTATTAGACAGATATGTAATTCTGGGCAACCACTTGGATGCCTGGATCTTGGGTGCTCTTGATCCCAACTCTGGCACTGCTGCTATGCTGGAACTCTCACGGGTCCTTCTTCAGCTGCATAATGAAACAGGTGAGTATTGGGTAGTGGGGCAACTGTATTAAATATTAACATTGAAATCTATATGTTGGTCTGATGGATAAGCAAATACCTGAGTTAGAATAGTATACAGGAATCCCCCGGGTTACGTAAGGGTTCTGTTCCTGAAAATCTTTTTGCATCATGAAATTGTGTATCGCAAAACTATTTTTCCCATTGACTCCCATTATATAAGTTTAGATGCATTCCTATGGAATTTTTTACGACCCAAATACGTAACACAAGCACATATATGAATGAAAGTGGACACATACGATGATTCTTTCATGATGTAACATGACAATAAATGCAGACACTTGAATTTAACTCCCCAGAAACGATGTTGAGTGTTGCAGGAAGTGATGAGGTGAGGTGGTGTTATTGGAGTTACTGGGAGTTACCTCCTTAAAACATCAAGTTTTATGGAATCTTTTATCACCACTGCTTTCACTTGAACTTGGTGGTCTTTTTCCACTCATCTTGAATAAGGGTACACAGTAACACAGATGCATAACTGAACACAAACTGGGAAAATAATTCAAACTGAGCCATGCCATTGTTGTTGTATCTGCTACCAGCTGGTGAGGTGAGCCACCTGGCAGCCATCTTATAGCTACATCCAAAAGTTATGGAGAAGTAGGATTTTGAAAATTGATAAGAATATAAGGGAAAAATCAGGTATCAGGGATTAGGCAGAACAGATTCAGGGGTAAGCAACAATATATCTGGTGTCCTTAATTGCTGACAGGAAATTGATAGTGATTGATCAATTATTTACGAATTTCGTGCTTCAGCCTGACATTTCCCTTCAGGGAATATTATACTTACGAACCAAGCGTGGAGCACTCTACTTGTTTGACACACCGTGCCAGCTCCTTCACTGCGCCAGCTAACTCATGTGCAAGGAAATGTATATTCCCTTTGTGTTTGCCCTTAGGACAATTATTTATTTTACTTTTTTCACAATATGTATGTAGGATGGTGTGTGTATTTAACTGAGCAAAATTAAATTAAGAAAGTTACGTATATCTATCCGAAAATACGAATTGAAAACAACCATAACACCTCACAGCTTGGCCTAGTAGTCTGGTGGTTACAGTGATGAATCTAACTTGGTTACAATGCTGCCAGTGATGTTAACAGACACAAATGTGAAAAGAAAGTTATCTGTAAGTCCTCATTTGTATCAGGTACTACATTAAATAACATTTTAAAATGTGGAGTGAGAAAACAAAAAGGTGTGGGGGATTAGAGAGATGGAGTGGAAAGGAGTGTTGCCGAGTGCTCCTCAACAGCTGATCTTTAACTCGCTAACACGCAATCACACATTTGTGCATCAGTATGTACAGTAAGTCCTCGCTTAACATCGTCCCGCTTAACGTTGTTTCGGTACTACGTCGCTGAACTTAGAGACCAAAAATTCGTTTAACGTCCCGGTGATCCGATACTACGTCGTTTTATGAAGTCACGGACTACTTTCTACAGCGCATCACCTGCTCTTGTTTGGCCGCGCTGTGCTCTTTTGGCTTGGCTCGCTGCCCTCACTTGCGGAATGTCACAATTTCCCCAAGTGACGCCAAGCCAGTCTCTGTTACGACTTCACATCATTCATATGTACTTAAGTGCTTTTGCTCTAAAACTGTACTCTAACCATTTGAAATGGCTTCCAAGCGCCCATCAAGTGCTACTGATGCTAGTGTAGTGAAAAGGCAATGTAAGACCATTCCCCTTGCTATAAAATGGATGTATTAACCCGATTTGAAAAAGGGGAACGTGCTGTGGACATAGCCGCTGTGCTTGGTCTAACCCCCACAAAGGTGTGTACTATCTGGACCAGTGCTGACAAGATTAAGGTTAGAACCTCAATGAACGCTAACTTCCAAGAGGATGGCAGAATCGTTGAACATGTTCCAGCAAGCAATGCAAATCCTTCTAGATGACGACCCAAACAGAGAACGTAGTTCAAAGGTTCAACGCAGCATTAAGGACAGTCTTCGATGCTACACCGAGATCTATAAGGAGAAGAAGATGAGTAGCACCAAGCAGTCAACACTAGATTCATTTTTTCGTTGAGGGGCGGCAGGAACAACTTCACAACAGCCGGCAGCCGAAGAGGAGCAAATAACTACAGGGGAGGAGCAAACATCAACAGAGGAGAAGCAAGCAGTGGTGGAGGAACCCCAGTCAGAGCAGGAGGCAGCCGCAAAGTCTCAGTGACCTCCTCCTCCCCTCCCGCCATCCTCCTCCTTTGCTTCACTACCCACCACACACTCGCTCTACCACCTCCGTCCATCGGTGAGTACCAATACAAACTTAGCACTGTAGTTCTATATACTATTCTCTATAGAAATGGCAATGATTTTCTGTATATGTAACTTTTTTCATGGGGCAAAGGGAGGCTCAGGAACGTAACTCCCGTATTTTATCTATTTTTATGGGAAAATTGATCCGCTTAGCGTTGTTTTGCATAACGACATTTCGCATAACGACGCATTTTCAGGAACGTAACCCTGACATTAAGCAAGGATGCCCTGTATTTTATTTGGAATTTACAATGTTTCAAGTTATGAACATATCCCTCTTGTAAGTTTGGGAATGCCTGTAATTATACAGTTTAGGACACTTATGCTAGAGGTAGGGAAATTGAAAGTAGAGTGGGATGAGTTCCTATTCAAGGAAATATTGGACAAGTATGTAAGTTAAATGTCGAAGGCATAGCATGAATGAGTTTCCTTAGAATGGCTTGTAAAGAGCAAACAGACAATACCCTCCATATCTTCTGGGACACAAGCCCGAGAGCCTATGAAGCAGTAGCTTACTGTATATAGCAAATAAAATTGAAACCCACATGATCATCACTTCTAGAGTGGCACCTATTGAGACAAAGAATTTACCACAATTACAATTATCATCCATTGTTGTTGATAGTAAGTTAGCAAGCAATCTGAAAACTACCCTAGCCAAGTCACGATTATTAAGATCCATATTTTGATGGATAATTAAGTCGCCTTGTAATTGGTCACTAATAATAAATCCAATATAATCTTTGTACAATGTCAGGTGGCTGAAATGCACAAGGAGTTGAATGACTTAAAATTGCTTTATGTGAGCATAAAAGAAAATCCCGCACATTATTTGACTATTGTAATAAGTGTGGATAAGCTAATGGATAATGAATTGTGGTGCCATGGATTGGAGTGGTTGAGACTTGAGAGATGAAAATTATGTCGGCTCCACCACCTGGCACTCCCCGACTTACAACAGGGATACATTCCTGGACCCTGATCGTAAGTCAATCTGTTCATAACTCGGAACATTGTAAATTCCAAATAAAGTATGTACTGATGCACAAGTGTGTCAGACTACAATTGTCACTACTATTAATCAAACGACTGGCATTAATGATACAATATTTTTTTTTTATTGATTAATTAGTAAGGATACGTCACTGGAGTAATCTGTGTTTAATACATGTACCTTTTACATACATCATCAGGAATGAATCTCCATATACAGTCAGTCCTCGACTTACGACGGGGTTAGGTACCGACGACCAGGTTGTAAGTTGAATTGGTCATAAGTCGAAAATGCGAAAATAATACAGTAGTACCCCGATTTACGCGGTCAATTGAACCCACAGGGTACCATGGAAAGTGAAAACCGTGTAAAGTGAACAACAGAACATATGGGATTAATTCCAATAGAGACTGGCCCGACCCCCAAACTCCACCTTTTCCGACACAATACCTATGTTGTAGTAAAAATAACATCTAAATTTTATGATGGTATGCTCACACAATTAATATTTAAGAGAAATACAGTCGCCAGGTTAATGTCCATTCAAATAATGGACTCAAATCCCCCCCCCCCTCTTCCCAGCTCACTAGCTCCTACCTCTCTGATTAATGTTTGGGTGAAAACTCTAGATTTTAACGTTTAGTAATAAATAATACCTCAGACTAAAGTTAGGATAATATAATTGACATTTCTGGATTCCTTGCAGGTCAGGGAATATTTTGAATGTAAACTTCATATATTTTGCACAAAAGATAAAAAATTTGCTTTGTGTAAACCAAATTATTACTTTAGATCTAAAATTTGCATGTCTAATGCAAAATCCATGATGTTTATATTCAAAATGATCATCATATTGTAAGAATTTCAGCAATGTAAATTATATTCTGGCCGGGTAATTTGTATGAATTTTATGTGCTAAAACATATATCTTCAGTAAATAAACAAAGAAATATTCTTCAAGGACACTATCTGTCAATCAAAATACTCCCCCTCCCTTCCTCCCTCCCTACCAGAGAAGGGATTGGGAGAAAATAGTATATTTACATTTTTAGTAATAAATAACAACTCAGACTAAAGTTAGGATAATATAATTGACATTTCTGGATTCCTTGCAGGCCAGGGAATATTTTGAATGTAAACTTCATATATTCTGCACAAAGGATAAAATATTTGCTTTGTGTAAACCAAATTATAACATAAGATCTAAAATTTGTATGTCTAATGCAAAATCCATGATGTTTATATTCAAAACGATCATCATATTGTAAGAATTCCAGCAATGTAAATTATATTCTGGCCGGGTAATTTGTATGAATTTTATGAGAAAAAAAAATTATACTTCACCGCGTATATGAGTAGATGCACCGCGGAAAGTGAAAGTCTGGTTCTGGCAAGGTACCGCGTAAATGAGAAATCGCGGAAAGTGAAACCGTGTAAAGCGGGGTAATACTGTACATAGAAAATCTAAAATGGGTGTCTCTTTTTCTTCTCAGCACCACGAGAACTCTCACTTTTACGCTTGCCAGCCATTTTAAAGGGAATTACAAACGAAAATTTTGTCAGTACACAGCACGATCACTAACATCGGGACTCGAAAATACGTAATTTGAAAAATATTTTATACGACTGCGGCAGTCGTATGTCCGGGTGGTCGTAAATCGAGTGCCGGTAGGTCGTAAGTCGAGGAGTACCTGTAC